GTGATCGATGTAGTTCGAGGCCCAGAAAGTACGCAGCATCCCCCAGTTCCTTCAGATTAAAGGCCTCATGGAGATTATTAGTAAGCTCCTGAATTCCAGTAGTATCATCTCCACTTACCAACATATCATCAACATAAATAAGCAAAACAGTGAGTCCACGATCAGTACGTCTCAAAAACAGGGATGGATCATTATCACTTTGATGGAAACCAGCCATCAAAATGGTATCATGAAATTTCTCAAACCATGCTCGCGGAGCCTGCTTCAAACCATAAAGGGATCGACGAAGTAAACATACCTTCGATTTGTCACCAGATAAGTAACCAGGAGGACACTCCATATAAATCGTCTCCTTCAGATCGCCATGAAGAAAAAGCATTCTTCACATCCAACTGCTTAATACACCATCCTTTCATCGCTGCCATGGCAAATAATGTCCGGACAGTTTGCATTTTAGCAACTGGAGCAAAGGTTTCTTCATAGTCAATACCAAATTCCTGACGAAATCCTTGAGCTACAACACGCGCTTTAAATCGCTCAAGAGAACCATCAGGATGCAGCTTAATATTATAAACCCACTTGGACCCAATAACAGGAGCATTGACTGGACGTGGAACAATGTCCCAAGTGTGGTTTGCCTCAAGAGCATGTACTTCAGTAGTCATAGCTGCATCCCAATGAGGATTACCCCGAGCCTGTTTATACGTTGCTGGGACCGGAATGGGTGTCGTCGAAAAGGCTACAAAATCCGACATATGGGCCGGCACCGGCAATTTCCCTTTATTTGCTCGCAAGGAGCGACGCAGCTGGGGAGGCTCCTCGTTCTCAACGAGATGAAAGTCCAAGGGAGGAGAAGATTCCCCACCCGAGGAAGAGGACGAAGTGTCCAAAGCAGACCCCATGTGAGCAGAAGAGCTAGCGGTAGTTAATGGAGAATCCAAATGAAGAGAAGTGGTTTCAGGCGGCGGCGTGGGTGGATCAGGAGGATCAACTACCAGCTGCTGGACATCAGGAAATATAGGCAAAGCTTGAAGAAATTCCAAGTCAGGACGAGAGGGGGAATCAGCCGCCGATCCATAGTACGGGATATGCTCAAGGAATGCGACATTACACGAAATGCGAATTCGACGACTAGGTACATCATAACAGACGTACCCTTTGTGTTTGTCGCTATACCCGACAAACACGCACTTCACAGCCTTAGGAGAGAGTTTGTTACGTTCACGGTTCGGAAGGAGAACATAACAAGTACAGCCAAACACCCGGAGCTCCTTGTATGTCGGGCGTTTGCCGTAGAGAGCTTCATAAGGACTCCGTTGACCAAGTATCGGAGTAAGCTGTCTGTTAATCAAGTGCACCACAGTGTGAATCGCCTCTACCCAGAATGACGATGGAACCCAAGACTGAAACAGTAGCGCACGAGTCAGTTCTAGTACATGACGATGTTTACGTTCAACTAGTCCATTTGGTTGAGAAACTCCCGGGCATGACTGTTGAGGTAAAATCCCAAGATCTTTAAACACTTCCTGCAGAGGACCAGAAATAAACTCGCCACCAGGATCAGAGCGAACTATTTTAACAATCTTTCCAAACTGCGTTTTAACCATCTGGATAAATTCCTTAGCCACTTTAATAAGATCAGATTTGTGACGAAGGAAGTAAACCCATGCAAATCTTGTAGCCTGATCCACAAACAACGCAAAATAGCGAAAGCCAACACGTGATGTCACAGGCGAAGGCCCCCACAAATCAGTATGGACTAGATCAAACGGATCTGTATAAACCGTAGTACTGGAAGCGAAAGATTGTTGAGATAGTTTAGCCTCAATGCAAGAAACACAATCACGAGAATCCGAAACTGAACTGCCCGATAATAAATTCTGTTTAAACATATCCAACAAACGAGCCGAATGAGGATGGCCTAACCGACGGTGCCATAAATCCCAGTTTGACAATTTAACAGAATATCCAACAGGAGAAAAATCAAAAAATTTAGGAGAGCATGCTGCGCCTTGAACAGGATCCAAACTTCCTCTACTGGCTGCACCATCATCCAATTTCGGACATCCAGAGTAGCTATCCAAGGTGAACACACGCCCAACTTTAGTCCCTCGGCCTATCTCCCTCCCTGTGTTCGTGTCCTGCACAACACAACCACGACCATCAAAGGTAACACGACACCCGTCCTCCGCAAGCTGCCCCACAGACACAAGACTAGGCACTAATTTCGGGACATAGAAAGACGAATACGAGACTGTTGAACATCTCCAATCCCCTGGGCGGGTAAGCAAGTACCATCCGCCACTTGAAGCATAATAGGCCGATTAGGCCGTAAGGAACAAAAGGAGGAACGGGAACCTGTCATGTGGTTAAAGGCAGCAGAATCAAGATGCCAGGAGGGAGAAGAACAAGAATGCATACCAGCAGTAAAGACCGAACCCAGAGCAGTAGGAAGAGCCTCCTTGATCGCATCCTGCACCAATTGACGGATGTAATCAGGAGTCACAGAACCGACCGATGATGAAGTCGCAGGCTGGACAGGAGCAAGAGTAGTCGCGTAGGCTGGACTAGAAGAGGCAGCCGAAGTCCCTCCACCAGAAGAGGATCCTGACGATCGGTTGCGACCACGTTTGGCGAGAATGGGGCAGTCACCAATTTTGTGACCAGAAGCTTTGCAGTAGTTACAAGAGTTCCGGCGTGGACAGTGATTTTGGATATGCCCTGGCTCCTTACAGTGGAAGCAAACGATCTCCCCTGTCGCCGTACGAAACCGAGGGCGTTCAGACCCAACGGCAAAAGCAGCAGTGTCTGTCGAGGGCGCTGAAGAACCAGATTTCCCAGCCGAGACAGCAAACGCGGAAGTCGAATCAGATTGGTGAATGTCAAGCTTCACTTGACTGCGAAGTCTTGTTTCCTCGCGGACAAGTTCGCCCAACACATCTTCCAACCTGGTGACGTTGCGATGCAGCAAGGAGGCGCGAATGCCCTCAAATTCTCCCCGCAACTTCATCAAGAACTGCATAACGCGCGAGCTAGCGCGATCCTGAAGAACCTCAGCAGACGCCGCCGACGAGAGCACGGAGGACGTGATGAGGTCATGTTCCGTCCAGAGATTGACGGCAGCTTGGTAGTAGGACCTGACATCAAGGTCTCCCTGCTGCAACCGAGCCAAATCCAGCTCAACTTCAAACTTCTGCGACGGGCTGGATTGAGAGTGAACGTCGGAGAGATGGCGCCACATAGCGTGCGCCGTAGGGAAGGCACGAAGACTCAGAGCGATCGGCGGATCAACCGATCCCAAAATCCAAACCATGACCTGGGCATTGCTGACCGCCCAGTCATCCCGATCCTTGGCCGATGCAGTGGCGTCCGGTTCAGGCTGCGTACCGTCCAGAATAGAGGATAAACGGCGCCCTTGCACAAACAAGCGGAATTGCAGCTCCCAGAGAGCAAAATTCCGGCCATTAAACTTAACGGAGACTGAATCAATTTTTGAAGCATCCATGATGAGCAATTCCAAGTGACCACCAAGAAGAAATCCCGAAAGCAGCCAAAAACCCTAAAGGCGCACGAGCCGCACGAAACCAGAAGGCGGACGCAAGAGGCAGAACACACAGCAGCAACAATTAAACCCAGGATCCGTGAATGGGCTCTGATACCATGTTAAACACAAGATCAAAAGAAGGATAACAAAACACGAACACCGATTTACGTGGTATCCTCAACGAGTATCGTTGAGACTAATCCACGGAGAGGAGCAACCTCTCAGAGTCAATTGTATTATCCGAGAATCCTTAGGTTACAAGATCGGCTAACATCACCTATTTAACATAGTCGAAAAACCCCTATCTCAGGACCTAAGTGTAATTAACCAATACTTCTAGCACAAGGATTAAAGGCTAATTACAATTGACACCCAATACAATTAACATCAGTAACCCCTGGCGGGACTCTTAGCGGCGGTTTTATTGGTTGATAAAAGGCAAATAAACCCCTACTGTAGGTGGTTTGTTTTGTAGTGATCATTTGCTACATTAAAACTTGCCTAAACACTGTCATGCATTTACAGCTTTCAGGCCGACTTGGGTCTTCCTTGGTACCTATATGACCAAACATTGAACAACAACTCCCTCCCTAAACTATGTAGAGGTTTCGGGTTTCCCCCTACAATTATGCCTTGTTTTTAATTAATAAACAAGTTAGTTAACAATGTGTCTCTTCCTCGAAAATTTGAGTTAACACATGACCCTTGACATGAAAACACTATTAATTAGACAATAATTTAATTTGGCATGTCCACAAATATGTCCAAATCCAATTCAAAAACAAGAGGATTCCAACTTCAATAACAAATTAGGGAAAAAATGCTCTCTGAGGTGCTCTCTGAGGTCTTACCGGCGACAGGAAATCTCTCCCCTTCTGACAGACCGCCGGACCAAGAGGTGCCTCCGGCTCCCTTGCAGGGTGTTTCAAACGATCCCTCAGCCACGCCCAATGGAGACTCCGCCACAGGGAACGATTCCATGGCGGTTGACGATAAGCCGAATAATACTGCAGAAGGACCAACTAAGGTTGTACCTTTATCCTATGCAAATGCAGTCGCCGGGGTGTCTGCTAGTCCTGCTGTGGGGATGGTTTCCTGGACACCAGTGGGCGAACATGATCTGGTCCGAGGCATATTCAATGGAGAACCAGAACTGAAGGTATCCGACAGTTTTAGGACCAAACTCAGCAAACCTTGGCAGCGGTCTCTGGTGGTCCGCACGTTAGGGCTACAGATATCCTTCACCACTTTTAGTAGTAAGCTTCGTGCTCAGTGGCGACCAACAGGACCAATGGAAGTCATGCTCCTCGGATCGGAATGTTTTATGGTGAAACTCAGCAATGACATGGACTATTTCCGCGCTCTCACGGAGGGACCTTGGACGATTTTCGATCACTACTTGCTTGTTCAACAATGGACCCCGGAATTCCGTCTCTCTGACAAACTGCCGAGCTCGATGATTGTGTGGGTTCAACTTCCGGCCTTCCCGATTCACTTCTATCACAAAGAAGTACTCTTCTCTTTGGGGAATATGATTGGACGCACAATCAAGCTGGATTATCACACTCTCCATCAGCAACGGGCAAGATTCGCAAGAATTGCAGTGGAAATTGATCTCTCAAAGCCACTGATTACAAGAGTCCGGCTTGATGGAGCCTGGCAGTATCTGGAATATGAGAACCTACCAGTGTGCTGTTTTGAGTGCGGAAAAGTCGGCCACACTAAGGAGAGTTGCCCCAACCTGAGATCCCCATCCCCGCAACGGAGTATTGTGGTAGCTGGAGGTTCGCCGGCGCCGGAACCAGTTACCGCACCGGAAGAGAAGTCCGGCTTCGGGCCGTGGATGCTCGTTACCCGAAAATCACGGCGTGGAGGCAGCAACACAGAAAAAGGAAACAACCCTGATTCCTTCCATAATCAAAACGAAATTCAAGGAAAGGGAGGAAAAGGAAAGGCTACCGTGAAGGAGGGCCACACGAACGCCGAGCATCATCATGAAGCAAGCGGCGCAGGGACTCAACGGCTGGAAAGAGCAATTAGCGGAGAAAAATTAGAAAGGGATCGGGGGACAATGGCGAAGAAGAAAGGGAAAGCAGGGGCGGAGATTTCTGATGGGAAAGAGAGAGGGAAGGGCATTCTCGGGCCTGTCCCCAAGAAGCAACAGCCCAACTCTCAGCGGCCCAAAAGTGTCTCACTTAAAGCCGATGGGCCGTCGAGTTCAGGCACTAAGCCCATACAATCTCCCAGTCCACGGAAGGAGTTCAATGATGGCCTGGATCAGGCCCCAAGCCCTCCCTCTCTGACAACCGTCTCAACCGCAAAGGGAACAACCATCCAGCTGGTTACCCCTTCTCAAACAGACGCTCGCACCGACCAGCAAAAAATGGAAATAACACCATCGGCCTCTGCTCGCACCAAAAATCAGAATAAACAAAGGAAGAAGTTGAAATCCCCGAGCAAAGCTTCGAGACCGATTGTAACCAAGGCGCTCCAAGTCTGGACACCGGTGAAGGAGAGGAAAGGCAAAACAAGATCCAAGCTGGCGGCGTTGACACTCCAAGAGATCGAGGCGTGGACGGGCGCGGCTTGCCGGTCAGAGGACCCCGAGTCAACGCGGACCATCACCGGCGACAGCTCCTCGGCGGCCACCGAGAGAGATCCCCAGCTCGTCGCCCCCTGATTGTTTCTCCTTAGCTGCTCGGCTCCCCTCCCCCCCCTTCTTTACTCTCTGCTTATATTTTTTTCCCCATGTCTTTTAGTCAATTTCAGAATTTTAAAATCATTGCCTGGAATATTGGGGGTGCTGGTAGTGCTGCATCGGCCAGAGCCCTTAGGCTGATTGTTAAGAATTATAATCCTGACTTTCTTGTTATCTTGGAGCCGCAGGTGAGTGGAAGTTCTGCCAACAAAATATGTGAGAGGATGGGATTCCCGAATATTATGCGAGTAGAGTCTGAAGGGCGGAAAGGAGGCATCTGGCTCTGCTGGAATGCTGCTGTTTTCCAGCTTCAAGTGATCTCAGCCTGCTCACAACATCTGTCGGTTGAAGTCACTACTGGATCTGCCCCTAAATGGCTGTTTACAGCAGTTTATGCTAGCCCTCAGCAATCTCAACAACATAGTTTGTGGCGAACTCTCCTACGCACCAGCCAATCGAACGATCTGCCTTGGCTTCTCTCCGGGGACTTCAACTCTATTCTGAAACCGGAGGAGAATTCAGGCCAACCCTCCCCTTCCACGCTCTATAAGTGCAGAGTCTTCAGCAACAGAATAAATCAGGCGGAACTTATTGATCTTGGCTTCTCAGGTCCGCGATTCACGTGGACAAGAGGGGACAATCCCAACACGTACAAAGCAAGCCGCATCGATCGAAGCCTCTGCAACACTATCTGGAATTCGTGCTTACCGAACACCACTGTCAAGCATCTCCCCCGCCTCCACTCGGATCATCACCCTATTCTTACCACCATTGGAAACCAGGGAGTCAACTCCTCCTTTACCCGCCCTTTTCGTTTTGAAGCGGCTTGGCTAACTAGTGGTTCTTTTGACCAGGTTGTGGAAGGGGGGATGGGACCATCACGCCTCCCTACCAGCTGCCCTCGAGAAAATGGCGTCCAATCTAAACCATTGGAACAAAACTACCTTTGGAAGTATCTTCCACAAGAAGAGAAGGTTGATGGCACGCATCCACGGGATTCAAGAGAGGGTGGCTACGTCTTTTTCTCCCGGTCTCCTCAAGCTTCAAATCAAGTTAGAGAGAGAGCTAGACGAGGTTCTCGAGCAGGAGGAGCTATTCTGGTTCCAACGGTCAAGAGAAAAATGGGTCCAACAGGGAGAGCGAAACACTGGATACTTCCATAACCAGGCGGTCATCCGTAGGCGCAGGAACAACATCAGCAGCCTCAAAGGGGCTACTGGGGAGTGGATCAATGATCCCCAGGAGCTGGCTGACTTTGTCTATAATGTCTTTGTCTCTCTGTTTGTGCAGGATAATAACAATTATGAGGACCTCATGCCCAGAGGGGCGTTCCCCCGCCTTAGCCAAGAGGATTTTGCTGCTATGCTGAGACCGTTTGGAGCAGAGGACATCCATCGGGCGATCCATGAGATGAAACCGTTCCAAGCCCCTGGCCCGGATGGATTCCATGCAGCTTTCTACCAGCGGGAGTGGAGAGTTGTGGGAAAATCTTTGATTAACATGGCTTTGGAGTTTTTTAATGCAGGTGGCCTCCCGGAAAATGTCACTGATTCGACGGTGGTACTCATTCCTAAAGTGGAGCACCCGGAAATGGCGTCCCAGCTCAGACCCATATCTCTTAACAATGTCTGCCTGAAAGCCATCACGAAGGCCATCACCAACAGGTTGAAGCCGATCATGAAGAAGCTGGTCTCTCCTCGCCAAAGCAGCTTCATCCCGGGGAGGCAAACCACCGACAATATCATCGTCCTGCAGGAGGTTCTCCACACCCTTCGGAGAAAGAAAGGGAAGAAGGGTGGGATTGTGATGAAGATCGATCTCGAGAAGGCCTACGACCGTCTGAGGTGGGATTTCCTGCGGGATACACTCAAGGAAATAGGCTTACCTAGCTCATGGATAGGGTGCATCATGTACTGCGTGGAGCATAACAGGATGCGCCTTCTCTGGAATGGCGAGCTGTCAACCCCCATCATTCCGTCCAGAGGAGTTCGGCAGGGAGACCCCCTTTCCCCTTACCTTTTTGTCTTGTGTATGGAACGTTTGTCCCACAGAATCGACCAGGCAGTTCAGAATAAGCTCTGGCGGCCGATCAAGCTGTCCAAGGACGGCCCTCCTCTCTCTCACCTCTTTTTTGCCGATGATCTTGTGTTGTTTGCAGAAGCAGGGGGCTCGCAGATCAGGATTATCAAGCAGTGTTTGGACGACTTTTGCAGTAGCTCTGGGCAGAGGGTGAACTTCCACAAGTCAGCCATGTTCGTCTCGGCAAACATCAGCAGAAGACAGGCGAGATCCCTGAGTGCGCGCATGGAGATCCCTCTTACGGTGGACCTTGGGAGATATCTCGGAGTCATGGCAATTCATGGTAGGGTGACCCGGGGCAGATATCAGGATCTTCTCCTCAAAATCCAAAGGAAACTGGCACCATGGAAAGCTAAGCATCTCTCTCTTGCAGCCCGGATGACTCTTGTAAAGTCTATTGCTGCGTCCATACCTGTTTATCCTATGCAGGTGGAGCTGATGCCCAAAATGATCTGCAATTCGCTGGACAGAATCAATCGTGGTTTCCTCTGGGGAGATTCAGAGGAAAAAAAGAAGCTCCATTTAGTGGGGGTGGCAGCAGTTGACCCTCCCAAAGGAGAAAGGAGGGCTCGGACTCCGCCCGGCGAGAGATGTCAACCTGGCAATGTTAGCTAAGTGCGGCTGGAGACTCCTAACAGAGAAAGAGACCCTCTGGGCGCGGATAATGCGTTCAAAGTATGGCAAGGGCAGGGAGGATCTCAGCATCATTAAGCAATTAAAGGGAAGTTCCTTTACCTGGAACAGCATATCAAAAGCTAGTGATCTGCTGAAAAAAGGGTGTGGGTGGAATATTCATAGAGGAAATCTCACCCATTTCTGGTCCGATGTTTGGATTTTGCAGGTTCCTCTAAAGGAAATAGCCACCAGCCCAGTCCCGGAGGAGGAGATGAACGCCGTGGTTGCGGATTACGTGGATGAGGAAGGAGCCTGGCTAACCGGAAAATTCGAAGACTTCCTTCCGGAGAGTGTGGTCCATAAAATCACGGCGCGTGCTGTCGATCCGCTTACGGGAGAGAACGACGTCCTTTTTTGGCACCCCACCTCGGATGGCAACTTCTCAGCTAAAAGTGCTTTTCAGCTCACGCAGCAGCCCACAACAAACGACCCTAATGACCTCTGGAAGACGATCTGGAACCTGCCAGTCCCGGAGAGAGTCCGCTGTTTTATGTGGCTCGTGGCACATGATAAGGTGAGCAGTAATGTGCAGAGGTATAAAAGGAAAATCACCTCCTCTCCTTTCTGTTACAGGTGCTTGACTCAGGAGGAGACCTGTCTCCACATCTTCAGAGACTGCCCCCCTGCGGCTTTCTTTTGGGCACGCACCATCCCCACCGAGAAGCAGGACGAGTTCTTCAGTATGCAGTTCAGACAGTGGCTAAAGAAAAACCTGCAGACGGAAGAGATGCCGAGAATCGAGACCCCCTGGAAAGCCTTCTTCAGCATTGCACTGTGGAGTCTTTGGAAGAACAGAAACGAGGGCGTCTTCAAAGGGAGTGACAAGACCCTTTCGCCACCCTCCTTGACCCAGGCAATTAAGATCAAGGCGAATTTATGGCACAAAGCTTGGATGGCTCCGCCGGACATCATCGGGCGCTGCTCTGCCCCGATTCAGCGCACGCTCAGAGAAATTGGGTGGACTCCACCTCCGGCAGGTTGGACAAAGATCAATGTGGATGGCGCAGCTAATGGGACGCAGGGTCCGGCAGGTGCAGGAGGCATTTTGAGGGATCACCTTGGCTCTTGGATTACAGGTTTTGTTGTCAATCTTGGGACGTGTTCAGCGGTTCAGGCAGAGCTCTGGGGCATCTATCATGGGTTGGGTGTAGCTTGGCAGGCTGGCAGCAGAACCATCATCGTGGAATCCGACTCTCAGATGGCCCTCCAGCTTATAGAGAAGAGAAATGATCGGATTCACCCTCAAGCGACTCTTCTGACGGCTATCAGACGGAGAATAGCTCAGGATTGGGTGGTAAAGCTAGTTCACACTTACCGAGAAGGGAATAGAGCCGCAGACTGGCTCTCGAAGCACGGTCTCGTCTATCCCTATGGTAAGTGCGTTTTGGATTTACCTCCCCAAGGGCTCCGTACTATCATTAGAGACGACTTTAGAGGACAAACTTTTCCCAGGAACATTTTAAGTTCCGTTGCCTCCACCCCCTCTCTGTAACCCTCTCTCCCCCCGTCTCCCTTCTCCCTCTGCGGCAGTTTTTGCCTCCCGTGTAAGCAAAAAAAAAATAATATATATCTACTTTAGTTTCCATGTTCTTATTATGTTACTCATATATGTTGATCGTCCAAGTGTAAGTGACGCAAGGTCGCCTCTGTTCTTCCACATATATACTCTTTCTCTGAAGAGATCGAACCAGTAACGCTCGAATCTAGACACGAGACTTACATGGTTGAAACATGTTTCAATAAGTGCTCTATTGTCTTAGGATTGTGTTGGTTATTACTTTTGGCCCAAGCAAGGCTAAGCTTGCTAAGTAGTCGGTAGCTATTAGAGGTAACTTTTTAGTGGATTGCAGGAAAGCAGAGTTGCGGATTAAGATCAGGATCAGATTGATGGCTGGTTTGGGCGAGTAGTTAGCTGAGTGATACTATCTTGCACTTAGGACATTAATTTTCATCAGCCAATAAAAATCATCAAATTTGTCTGCTAATGAATCAACTTGCCTTATGCACGCACACATAGAAGTAACTACATATGATGCTGGATGCCGAACTATATATGTATGATGCATCTGGTCAAATTCGCCCCCATCTATTACATAAGGTAGTAGGGAACGGAGAGGACGTTGGATAAATCCACTCAATTGCCTAGGCCAACAAATGAGTTGAGCTACTTACAAGCGGCTCAAAGCGAGATTCGAGAAAAACTCGTCCAATATTTGGTTATTTACTAA